ACAATAAGAACCGAACGATAAGCAAGCACACCAGACTCTGTGTTGGATGAACCGGTAGAGAAGGTAGCACGCTGCAGGCGGGAGAAGACCTCTAGTAAAGATAGAAGAGTAGAGCCACCCAAAATCTGAGAACGAATAGACTCGTATTCAGGTTTCAAACCAACTAAAAACGAACAACATTCAAATCCTCATGTTGCTTCTGCTAAACCGCTGCATCAGTAGTAAAGGGATGATAGAGCTTCAACTCCTCACGCATTCCCCAAATATGAGAGTAATAATCCTCAAGACTCAGAGTACCCTGCTCTAGACGAAAATATTGTTTGCATACTTCATATGCACGAGTGAAATTCCCAGTGCCAGAATACATGGTGGCCAAGTGATCCCATATCTCTTTGGCCGTGTCAAGATAAAGCAACGTAGAACTGATACTAGGCTTAATACTATTCAATAGCAATGAAATAATCCGAGCATCTTCTTGTTCCCACTTATCATACCCAAGAGTACCTTCCTTGGGTCTAGTGTCCACTAAATATTTCTTAAAGCTTTTACCTCTAAGAAACACTTGAACAGATCGTGACCACAAAACATAATTGGTCCCATTGAGTTTAACAGATGTCATGAGACCATTAAGTAGAACCGTAGGAGAAAAATTTGGGGACGTGGATGAAATAAGATCAATCTGACTATCATCATTTTTATTCTTGGGTTCCATAATTATATAGCAATGATAGAAGCAAAGAAAAAGGAGAAACCATGGATTAGGGGCCTGAACCGGACCAAATAAGGTTGCTGGAGTGATAAACCGGACTAAACAAGGCTGCTGGAATACTGAACCGGCCTGAAAAAGTGGACTGGACCACTGAATCGGGTTGGAAAAATGGACTGGATCACTGAACCAGGCTAAAAAGTGGACTGGACCACTGAACCGGGCTTGAAAAGTGGACTGGACTGCTAAACTGGTTTGGAAAACCAGGCTGGTCCATTGAACCGGACTAGCAAGACTCTAGACCTCTGAACCGGACCGGTTAGGCTCTCTGGACTCCTGAACCGTGATTCGCTCTAAGCTGAATCGCTGAACTGGCCTGACCCGTGATCCGGTCCAAGTTGAACCATGGGCTGAACCGAGTTTGGACTTAAAAACAATTTAAGTCTTGGGCTTGACCTGATCCAATCCAACCCAAGTGAGTCTGGAGCTCTTCTTCTTCTTCGTTACTTAGGGTTCCAAGAAGCCTCCCCCTGGTTTGCGACAACAACACACGCCACAAATTGACAATAGCAAGACCACCACAGCCACCACAACCACACCACTACCACGGAGAATGTTACTTGACGATGAACGGAAGCCACACCACCACCACAAGCTATCACGCCACCACATCAACTGGGACCACAACCATACTCGATGGTGAACAGAAGCCACACCACCACCACAAGCGATCACACTATCACACACCACAGCCACCACAAATGACGCAAGTGGGCGAACAGAAATCACACGATCAATAGACATCACACAATAGTGTTCATATATTTAGAATCGTTTAAGCTCTGATACCATGTTAAGTTTGGAGGATTAACATAATATATTAGGGACAAAGAGAGGTTAAAAATTTAACCTAATTCTCATATATCACTTGTATTTATAGTTAACTTATAATAATAAAAATTACATATACATCCTCTTACTATTAACAATTTACACATACTACCCTACTATTCTTAACACTTATAAACCATAGCGACATACATTGCAAGTGGTGACCACTACACAAAACCTTCAACCTTAGAAAGCAAAATGAAGTCTAATTCAACCACTCATAAGATTAAGGAACAACAACAATATTATCTTGCTAACCCCTCTGCTAATTCCCACCCCTAATCTTTCTTATCATATGTCTCTTAAGTTATACATTGGTCATCATCCTTCATACTTCTAAAAGTGGGAACATTTGAGACATGCGAAGTGGGTGGAAAATACAATTGCTTAGAGCATGTGACTCCTAATCTTACTTTCATGTTTTTGCTCAATCTTCTCAATCATCTTGAAGGAGCATATTTTTGAATTAAAATACCCATTAAAGCAGATGTTAATCAACAAAAAAGGAAAGAAATACCCAACTATAGAACACAGGTAGCTTCAATAAAAACATTTAAATGATTAAGGTTCCATCAAATTTTTGAGACAACCTAAACTAACATCTGAAAACATCAATTTATCACACACCTTCATTTCTAAATACAGATATCGTAAGTGTTCTCGTGATACAATTAGGCATACATAAGTGTTCTCGGTATGTGTGTGTGTGTGCATGTGCATGTGCATGTGCATGTGTGGCGCAAATTTAAAAGAAAGAGATGTAATAGGTTAGAAAACAAAAAATTGCTAAAGAAAAATTGAAGGCTAAAGATAGGGTGAGTGGGTGAGTGTGTGTGTAAAGACAGGGTGAGTGTGCAAAAACAAAGGATGTAAAAACAAAGAACAATACCTGCCAAAAAATGAAGCGACCATGAATAATAAAACATACACAATTACATTGATATTGTTGTATACAATCTCTGGCCTGTTAACAACTCAAACAAATGACAACACAAAAGAGCAAAAAAGCTCAATAGAAAATTCAAAAACAAAAAATTTGAGAATTTAACAAAATAGCAATCATGTTACAACGAAAAAAAACAAATAACCAAAATAACGAAGAAAATTACCCCTACAACTCCCAAAATAATAGAAGAAACAAAAATTCAGTTTTTTAAACAAATAATTGACCAAATTCCAAGAATTCAACTAGAGCAAAATATAGCTCCACCCAAGCTGTCAAAGAATGTCCACCTTGTGATTGGCCTCCAATCAGTTGGGCAGTTAAGTTTGCCACATCCTCTTTCATGCTACGCTGCAAATGAACAAATAAATGTAAAACCAAAAAAAAAAAAAAATTAGCCACCGAAAAATTAATACAGGAAATAGATGGTAAAATGAACAAACAAATAAGAGAAAAATGAACAAATGAAGTGGTTCAACAAAAAATGTTAAGCTAATAAACTGCATTTAGTTGAACCTAATTGCAATTGAAATCAATTGCTTGATCTGAGGCTTCATAGCTCTTTGAGGAATTTTGTCGAACATGTGGTGGAGCTGGTTGGTGGTCGGTGGTCTTAGAAATAATTTAGTTTATAAGCCCCATTTGACACAAATAAAAGTTCATACATGATTAATGGAGCCTTAATGGAGTTGAAAATATGACCTTAATGCAGCCTTCGAGCTTTTTTTGCGGCTTCAATGGCCTCTCATTAGATGGACAACCTCAAATTAAAGATTAAAACAAAAGATTCAACAATCCATTATACTCACAACAAAAGAAAAGAGGCTAGTGTGTGTAAGAGTTGATACTTGGTCGCCGGTGGTTGATTGGTTATGTTGGTGTGTAGCATTGGGGTCCTCACAGATGGCTGGTTGGCGGCATCAAGATTTGAGATCAGAGAGAGAATATCCTAGAAGAGATCAAATAGAGAGAGAAAGGAGGAAGGGTTTGTGTTTGTGGTTGTGGTAAACGGTGGTGGGTGACGTTGTTGATGGTGATTGGGGATGGAGTGTATTCTCCCAACATGGAGTAGGGAGGGGGCGAGAGGTTTGTGGGTGGTGGTGTTTGGTGTCGGTGACTCGGAAGAGAGAAACAGAGGGGGAGACTGGAGTGTATTTGGAGAGAGAGTGAGTTGGGTAACAGATGAGAGAGATAGAGAGAGAAATGTGTGAGAGTGAAAAAAAAAAAGAGGAATAGATAGAGTAATGAATGACAGGTGAGAGAGGAATTTCAAATTATGAGTAGATTTTGTGGCCGTTGGATTAGTGCAATTGAGGCCGTAGGATGGGTTTGTTGAAGTCGTCCTGTTTTATATTATAGATAGAAAGATCCTACACAGGAGGTGTTACATTTTTCCTTACAAAGGGTATAAGTGCAATCATCTACCATCTCAAACAATGCATATTAACATAGATGTTACCTTTCAAGAATTGGAGTCTTTTTTTTCCTACTTCTCAGCCATCTCTTTAGTGGGAGAATACCACAACTAGTGAAGAGATTTCCAAAAAAAAAAAAAAAAAAAAAAAAGATGAAGAGGTGTTATGTCAAAAGACATTTTTATTCATTTACCTATTCAGTGGGGGATATTAGTAAGGAGGAGCAACAACCACAACCTATTGGTGATAGTAGTGATTCCTTTGATACTCGTTTTGACAAGGATAACCTGCAGCATTACTCTTGGCATCAAAAGGTACAGACTATTCATGTGCCACCGAGTCAGTTACATTCCCCAATTTTGTTTCAATCATCTTCCATTGATTTCTCATGACATTAACTTCCGGCTATTACTCTGTTATCGATAATTCTGTTTACTTTTCCTTCCATGTTGCCTTTGCTATGTACTTAAATGTTTTTTTGGAACTCATGCGAGCCAGCTTCTAGCATTGATTTCTCTATTTTCTCCTTTATATATCAAAACATATTTTATTTACTAGTGTAGATTATTCAATTTTTCCTTTAAAAAATATAAATCAAAACAAAATACTATAATTGTTTCTTCTAAAATATATTATAACACTCTAATATATTTATAACACTCTAATATATTTGTCTTACTTACCTGGAAAATGTGTCGTAGTATGCTTTTTGCACCCCTCCTTTGATAGATACCTGCTTTTTTTCATTAACAATGATGGGGGTGTGGGTATTGAGCTTGGGTTGTCCAGGTGGCAATTTGCTACCAGGATAAAACCGTGGCTTCTTAAGGATGCCTTTTTTCCTATTCACAACGATGGGGGAGTGGGAATTAGAGCTTGGGTTGACCAGCTGGCAATTTGCCACCGAGATAAAACCTATGTTCTTAAAGATGCCTGTTTAGATTTGCATATTTTGATGTAGCATTTTGTATTCATCATTGTCTGATTGCTGCAATCCAGGGTGAGACGGCACACAATTTCAGTTTTTGTTGGTGATGAAAGTGGAATGATAAATCGAATTGCAGTAGTCTTTGCAAGGAGGGGATACAACATTGAGTCCCTTGCGGTTGGTCTGAACAAAGACAAGGCTCTGTTTACTATAGTTGTGTCTGGAACTGAAAGGGTGTTAGTACAAGTTATGGAGCAGCTTCAAAAACTTTTGAATGTGTTGAAGGTTATAATATATTCCCTTTGAAACACCATTATTGAATTTAAATCTTCATCTGAGTCACCTTTGATATGAGCTGGACAATTTTCCATCTATATTGTACATTCTTACTTATGATTAAAAGAAAAAGTAAGGATGTCCAGATGCTGTAGCCTTAAAATTTGGAAATGTGGCTGGCATGCTGAGGAGCAAAACCTGGAATGATTTCTGTCTCTCTTTGGAGACATGTCTGCAATCCTGATCTGGCTTGGCCTTTGTTCTCCTCTCCATTTTGCAATAATTTCTTTTGTTATAACTAATCTTTGAACTTCTCATTCCAACCCACTGACCAGGTTGAAGATATCTCGAAGGAGCCACAGGTAGAACGTGAATTGATGCTAATAAAAATCAATGCAGATCCGAACTACCGTGCTGAGGTAGCTATGCAATTTTCTGTGAATGTTGAATATTAAATGTTGTAATGTAACGTTGAATGCGTAACGAGTGATTTCAAGAATCATGGAAAGTTCTCTTATGAGTGTTTACAGTTACTTCTAGTCATTTTCATTGTATTCTGTTGTCTGGTGGGTGGTGACCTTATTTTGTTTAGTTGTAATCTCCAGGTCATGCGGCTGGTGGATATCTTTCGAGCAAGAATCGTGGATATCTCAGATCACTCATTGACTATAGAGGTGTTTGCTGGTGCACTTTGAACTTTGACTGGATAAGTCATAGAAAGAAAACTACTGTGTCAACTATATAAAATGATGATCAAATAAACAAATTACTCCTTACATGACCAACAGATTTACTGTTTTATTTTTGAGAATGTTTATTTCCTTCTGAATGTGGTTCTTGGTTACATAAAGTTAATAGGAGAGCTGGAGAGGATATTAGGTCATGTGCAAGGGTTGTCCTCCTTGAGATGTAGAAGGCTTCCTCACGTTCTATTCAATCTGTGGGGAATCATCAGTTGATTGACCTGTTGTGATTGAGAAATTGCCTACATCGGTAATTGGCCATGTTGTATGGCTTCTGGTATGCGTGTGGGCAACCAGTCTGACTAGGTCTTGAGATCTCTTATATGTTTAACCTATCTTCAACATGGAGACACCGGAGATATTAAAGGACCAGGTGTTTTTTGCCTCTGCCTTTAGGGAGAAATGAAGTTTCTGTATCTTAGCTTGTTTGGAAATATCAAAATCACTGATTACTAGATTGAGAAGGCATTTCAGGGTATTTATGGTGGTTGTGATGTTTTGTTTCTTTTTCTACGACTCCTGTTGGATACATGTTCAGCATTAGGCTTGCTGAATTTGGGTAATTCAGCCATAAACCACCCCAAGTTACACATTGGTGGGAGCCTTCCCTTTACCCATGTACTACCATAGTGTAGGATCTTTTCGAACAGACGAACTCAGCACCATATCATGGGCTGACTGTTCTTTCACTGACCTGCTTTTGTTGGATTTTGAGCAAAATTGGAAGGCTAATCTCCTTTAGTTTTTATTGGTCTCTTTCGAATATGAATTTTACTTTGCCTTACTTTTGTTTGAGCATATTTTGTCCTCAATATTGTGATTCTGTTGTCAGTTCTCATCTGTGAAACAATGCTTCTTTTATCCCAAGAAAAAAAGTTTCCACTACTTGCGTGATACTCTATGTTCTCTCACTATGACTAATATGTGAAAAATGTATTTGTTTTTGTATTAATAAATTCCTAATATTTGGATTGTGGATTTCTTAGTATGCATATCAAAATAAGCAAGAAAGTTAATTTGATGGGAGCTGCATAAATTAATGTTAATTCTAATATTTGTAATCACAGTTAAAAAGTCTAGCTAAAAAAAAAAAAGTGGGTAAAAAGGTAAGGATTGAAAAATGATTCTTGATCATTTGGTTGTGGTTCCGTCACAAGAAACCAGAGTTTTGGGTATTAAGAACAGTTTTCTTGGTAGGAGCGCTTAAGGTCCCATAAGTTCTTACCATTTCAAAAGCTGCGCTCTCCCAATTAGAGCCCTTAAGGTCCATGCAACCAAATACCATGCTTGGGCAACCAGACATGCACCTATTGTTTCTTTTGCTGGGCTTCCATCTCTCATTGCCTTGGTACAACTACCTGTGCGAGACCTATGCCAATCTGTTCACAATTCAGCTGGATGCAGCAGAGGCATTGTGATCTGCACACTGAAGATAGATCTTTCAATATCAAATTACTGGCATTTTGACAATGTTTGAATCTTCATTATGAAATACCGAGGGAAGTACTGANGATCTTTCAATATCAAATTGCTGGCATTTTGACAATGTTTGAATCTTCATTATGAAATACCGAGGGAAGTACTGAGATTGTGATCTTGTATCTTCGTAAGTAAACTTTCTTTGGTTATCTGAGCATATATAGCACTCAAGTTTTATAAAGTTTGCATCTATGTGAACCCGATAAGCAGGATGTAACAGGACCTCATGGTCAAGGACATTTGTGGATCAGACAGTATGTCCTTTCATGTTCACATACATAATTTTACAATCCCTGAAATCCTTTTCCGTTGTTGATCCAGGTAACTGGAGATCCAGGGAAGATGGTTGCTGTTCAAAGAAATTTAAGCAAGTTTGGAATAAGAGAAATTGCAAGAACTGGAAAGGTTTGCTAGTCCTTCTTTAAATACTTTGTGAAATGATGAATTGTTTTATTTTAACATTTAGCTTCTTTCTCCCTGTTACTCATTTGGATAGTCATTTGAAACATGTGTTCTTTCTTGATACCTTGTTTTAGATTGCATTGAGAAGGGAAAAGCTGGGTGAATCCGCTCCTTTTTGGCGATTTTCAGCAGCTTCATATCCGGATCTTGAAGGAATAATGCCTGTAAATACTGTTCTTCGGGCTACAAAGAGAACACAGAATGGAGAATCTGATACATCTGTCGGGGTATCCAATCCTCTAGCCTCTGAATGCTATCTTTGTTGTAGCCAAGTATGAGTTTTTTTCCAATCATACATGAAGGTGATATTCACTACTTTGTGTTAACTAGAATGGTACTTTGTACTTCCCACAAGGAGTACATGCTCAGTTCGACCCCGTGTTAGGATGGGGAGTGGATGGGTGATATATTTGACATTGGAACATAATTTTTTAGGTCTTAGGTTCCTTTACGGCTCCCTCCTGTATCTGTGTGCTTGTTTTTCAGGCTGTCATGGTTTTTTGTCAGGCCAAAGAACAAATAAGCTTTACATAATAAGGTCTAAGGAGAAACATGCAACCTCTACTTACTATACCTCAATATAATCCTACATATCATACTTCGTATGAGAGGTATAAAGCATAACACCTGTATCATAGTCTTAATTTTTCTCAACAAGAATAGAATTAAAAGGAACNATATGAGAGGTATAAAGCATAACACCTGTATCATAGTCTTAATTTTTCTCAACAAGAATAGAATTAAAAGGAACAGTATCAACACATACCATAGGTGAATTATGGATTAAAAAATCCTCTACTATTTATGAAATTTTTATTCTTTCTTTTTATAATATAGAAAGGGTCCATTTTTCCATGGTGTTATTCAATTTTCCTTTTGGAAGGTAAGATTTGCATTTAATAAAAGTGATAGAAAATCTAATGGCTAGTAATTTTTTGTTGACACTATTTTATGCTGGATTCCTTCAAGAAGATGTTATGGGTGTACCATTTCAACTCAATAACCTTACTAAAATGGTTTATAGTGCTTTAATTCTAGAAAAAATAAATCTTTTATTATTATCCTCCTGCTTGTAGTGGAGCAGTGATGTAGGACTGTTTAAGGAAATAAACTTAGGATTCTGGCATCTTTAATTAGTTCCATTGTGGGCTTTGGTTTTGAATTACTCCTAGATACAGAGTTTAGATATGCAGAAAAAAGCTATAGGTTCTATGGAAAAATGGACGACTATTGGCTACGTTCAAGAGATGATGTCGAAGGAAATTGAAGAGACACCGTTATAGGAAATCACTAGACTCACCATTTAGAGGAATCTGTTGTTGGTTTAAGGGTTTAAGAGTAGGGACATGGATCATGGTTGATTAGGAAAAGGAATTAATTATGGTATTGAGAACAAAGTTGTCAAAATGTGTATCAGAATGCGTATCATTTTTAAAAATAATGTATCATTTTTCACAACGTATCGTGTATCGTAAGATATACTCGATTTGAATATATATATACATGCGCACACATATAGCAAAAAATATGTAAATATATGGTGTCCAAGTGATACAAATATTAGTTCAACTCACTTATCAATTGTGTGATTCGTGTTTTCGATGGAGATCGAAGGGAATATAATTGTGTCTTCACGCCAGAGATCGAAATGTAGCTAAAGTTTTGTCTGTTAGAAGTAGAAGAAGAAGAATAATATGATCTAGAGCTTAGTTTTTTTTTTTTTTTTGATAAGAAACAATGATCTCATTAAAAATCAAAATAAAAGGAAGTACATTTAGTAGTCAAGGGTGGACAAGCTGTCCAAACCAATGACAAGTCCAAAAAGAAAATACATCATGATAAAACTACGTCTTACATGAAGCTTTCCAGCTTGATGCAATGCAAAAAAGAGGAATGTTTTCAAACTTTTTTGACACCGAGGTGCAAAAAGAGGCCATGAAAACGAATCTATCCCATTAACATTCAATCTCCTTGCTTTTGTTATAAAAATCTTCGTATTCCTAAATAGTAGCAAAATAAGCGAAACGCCAAAGAACCTTCCACCTTTTATGGCCACCCCCCACATAGCCCATCCATGCCAATCATCAATAAAATCGTTGTTGGTGCTGCCCAAGAAAGAGCTTAGTTTGATTGAGATCAAATCAAAAAAGAAAACAAATAATGTATAGGAAACAAAGTTGTATGACTGTTTAGGGTAAAAATAATCTTTTGAACTGACCTCATTTCACTGTGTAGACTAAAAAATTAAAATGTAAAAGATCTTATGAGTATCGTTTTGCCATTCTATTGAAATGTATCATATGTAACGAGTATCATAAGATACAGTGAAGAAAACGATATGACTCGTAGATACGTTTCATGTATCGTATCGTGTGTGTGTGTGTATACATATATCTCTCGAATAAGATAGCTAGTATTTTTTTTCCAGCCTATTTCTGTCCTATCATCCATTTATATAACAAGTTAAATTATTTAATTTTTGATTAATCTGTGGCTCAATACAATGTTTATTACCGGCATTGTTAATGTATACAAATTGATATTTTTTTGAAGTCATGCATTTTGAGAAAAGTTATCAATTTTTTTTAAAAGTAATGCGTTGAAATTAATTTCAAGTCATGTAATTAAAGAAAGAGAAAGAAAAAAAAATTGCCATTTGATCTAGTGGGATTGATTTTTTTTGACACTCTAATTTATGTTGCATCGTGCCTTCAAGTATCGGTTATGGCTCGTATATATATTTATATATATAATTCGTTGGATAGAAGTAGTTGGAAACTGTGCCATCTTAATCTGTGGTCTTAGCTCTTATTTTGTTTAAGTTTCGGTGAATTCTAATATTCTTAGGTGCTGCTTGTTTGGTTGAAGATGGGAAGAGTGGAAATTGATGAGAAGTTAACTGTTCAGAGAGTCTATACTTTGTTGTCACTGTGGATTAAACATGCGACTTATTTTTGTTTGTTTATGAAGGGAGATGTTTATCCAGTAGAGACAATTGTTGACTTCTCAGTCAGTCAAGTTCTTGATGCTCACTGGGGTGTCCTCAACGATGAAGACGTAAGTTACTATGGTGATTATGATTTTATTACATTTACATGTTTCTGGTACCTTAGTTGGTGGAGATGTGTAGGTCAGAGATGAAATGAACATTTTGAAAGCGTGGTCCTCCTTCCTAAAATATTCATTCAGGAGTTAATATGGTTACGTCAAATTCAGCACCTAAAAGATCATCTGCATTCATTATTTATATTCCTAAATCACCTTACATGAGGAAGTAAACAAGTTCCTTTGCGAGATTCAAGAATAGTGGACAAAAACTGGTTGGCCAAGTTTGTTTTTCACTCTTTCTGACCAACCAAATTTTAGATCATTTCATTTGTGTAATTTTTGCGTTAAATGCTACATACTTTTGTGATGTTTAACTTTTTATATGCATCTTCTATTGCTCAAACACCTGTGGTTCAAAATTTATTGGCCTGATTCATATGCTTCTAAGACAGCACCTAAAAAGAGCGGGGTTATCCATCTGATAGTGCAACTACACCAAAGACTCGGATCATTTTAGAGGGGAGATGGAAGTGTGCAGGCTATGCCATCCTTCACACATTGTTGAAAGATGGGATATCCAATAGAGTGCGATCATCTTAAGTCCAGAAATAGTTGTATGTGGAATAAGAAAGGAAACAAGCTCACTGTATCCACATTCCCAAACAATTCACAAGGAGGTCAGGTTATATAAATCACATGGTTGAAATCCTATGAACCATCTCTTGCTAAAGATTTCATCTTTCAATCAGCAAATGAATATAAAACTATCCCAGAAATAAGTGGTCTGTTTACTTTCTACAAGTTTATTTTGATGGGAACTTGTCATGTAACAGCTTAGCAAGCAGAAAACCCAATAAAATTTAACCGTTGAGGTGTTGAGGCCTTTCTCTTTTCTTTGTTTTCTGGACAAGATCATGTTTGTACACATTTTGTTTTTTTGATCGATCTATTATGTTCTTTATGCAATGTTCTGGTCAATGGATCTATTTTGTTTGTTGTGTAGTCATTTCTTGACATTTTTGTGTTTTGAAAAGAGAAGCAGGGGAAGCAACAAGAAAGTTTTTGATTGTTTTGCTAGTGAGGATGAGTTCATACCTTTTAGAACACTCGATTGATCATTCAGGACATCCAGAGTCACCTGGTTGTACACATATCCTCTTATAAGTAGGAAAAACCCTTTGGGAATTGGGAACCTCTGCCCCTTGGATGAAAGAGTGTACGAACAAGGAATTATGATGTTATGGATTGAGCCTGGAATATAGAGATGGTCTTTTCTTATAATTCTGTGCAAATGCCCTCGAATGGCTCAAGCAATTCTAGTTTCTTCCAAATTTCAAAATTTCTGGACCTATGATGGAGTTGAAGACTGTTATTTTACTTAATCTCCTCTTTGATTATCAAAATGCTGTTGTAATGCAAATATAGGGTGAACTTGGTAGCAGATGTTTCAAGATTCTGTCCAACATGAAAAGTTTTGAGTGTCTTCTTCAGATGCTTTACATTGAAACATCAAAACACCGTCATATAGTGTCTGATGTCTTTAATACTGGAACTTCGTTATCTGCATTTAAATTATTTTGCACTTGAGATATGTTAATTCCGAATAGCATATAATCTGTCAATTCTCTATTTAAATATGGAACTTAGACACGTGGGCTTGAATTCTGTGTGTAATGACATCATGTTTGAAAAGTGGTGCCTATATTTAAGAAAAATCGACTTTATCTGCAAAAGTTTCTTCTAGATGCAGTACATATTAATGCTTGTCTTGATCCTTCCAGACAAGTGGGCTGCGCTCACACACTTTATCAATGCTTGTTAATGACTCTCCTGGAGTTCTCAATAGAGTAACAGGGGTTTTCGCTCGAAGAGGATATAATATTCAAGTATGCTTGTTCAATTGTTGATGTTGTTTAGTTTTCCTTTGATATAGTTTGTGTTTTTTTTCCTGCAATGTTCTTATGCTCTTCATTGTTACATATCCTGTTTTAGAGTTTGGCTGTTGGCCATGCTGAAGTTGAGGGACTTTCTCGCATTACAACAGTTGTACCTGGTACTGATGAATCCATTAGCAAGTTGGTGCAGCAACTTTATAAGTTAGTAGATCTTCATGAGGTGAGAATCTTCCATCATTAGGAAAAAATGCTATTTTTCATGGTTGGTGGGAAGATGGGAGATGATGCTATATTTATTGTCGTTGTGATGTATACTCAATTGTTTTGAATTCTGGGAAAGATGTTGAGTTCTCAAAGATATTGTTCCTGCCCAAATTGTATTAAATGGTGTGATAGCGGAAGTGGTTAATTGGGTGGAAGGGATGACAATATCTGTTAGACATCATAGTGAACTTGTAGTGTGGGCCAATTTAAATTTAATTGAATCTGCTAGTTAGATGGCCCAGGATGGTCAAGTAATGTTCAAGTATCCTTATTTGGCGTATTTTCTTGGATACCACTTGCATTGAAGGTTTGTACCATATACATCTGGATTGGTCATTCAAGTACTCAGAGAAAAACCTTTTGATCCATGTGATTAGCATTCTGGTTTCTAACTGAATCCTACCTATCAAATGGTGACTTTCAGGTCAGAGATTTTACCCACTTGCCATTTGCTGAGCGAGAATTGATGTTGATTAAGATTGCTGTGAATGCTGCTGCCCGGCGCAATGTTCTTGACATTGCCAGCATTTTCAGAGCCAAAGCTGTCGATGTGTCTGACCATACAATAACCCTTGAGGTGAATATGTTTCTCGATAGTAGAGAATTAAGCATGTTCTCTGCACATGGTGTGAAAATATATCGAAACGGGGGAAGATGGGGAATTTTTTGTTCCTTCATGTGTGTTTCTTTTTCTTCCTTTTCTTTTTTTTTTTTTTTTGGGGGGGGGCTGATTTTTTATCACTATTGATCCTATTTTCCACGGATTTTAGAGCCACATGAATAATACTGAACCACTTGAACCCCTCCAGATAGCTCGGATAAAGATTTCTGGGGATTCTATCTGAGGATCCCAATAAGAGTCCTAGCCCAAAGCTTATGGTTTACAGGTGATTGCGTGTATACGGAGTTTGCACGGTAGCCATGATTCCAAAAGCCCCGTGGTTCAGACTGTTCTCTGCTGAAAAAAAAACTCACTTATTGACCTCTTCTATTTCGTATATTATCAATACAATGGGTGCTATTTATCTGACTCCATTGCTATTTCATTGTTATCTTCCAGAATCACGATTAATCATCACTGCTATATGAAGTTGCTTTGTGGTTTCCTATGGAAAACAAATTAATTTGATTGATTGATTCTTTCTTTCCGCTAATTAATTTGATTGTGTTTTATGTTGCATATAAACTCATAATTGTGTTTTATGTTGCATATAAACTCATAAGTTGGTATAGACATTGCTGTAACGAGCAGAATTTTGTAAGAGTGAGGTNAACTCATAATTGTGTTTTATGTTGCATATAACCTCATAAGTTGGTATAGACATTGCTGTAACGAGCAGAATTTTGTAAGAGTGAGGTCATCCATTGAATTGTATAGTGCCATTAGGTTATAGGGGAGAATGAAAGTAAGATGGAATGTTCTTACTAGTATCCAGTAGAAATCTGAGAAAATTGGCATCTATTACTCCTAAGATGTCAGATGATAAGATGCTACATTATGGGAATGACGTTCTTGCAATTGAACGAGATTTTTTTTTTCCTTTGCTAATTTTCATCCAATCACTAGAAATAAATCAAAATTGATTTTAAATCTTCTTAACTAAAGTTTTATTTATTCCCGACTCTAAGCTGGGATGATGCTATAGAAAATAGGTGACTACTAAGAGTTGCATTGGCTTTCTCTTACTGTATGCTTGGGAAAATTCAGTCATGATTAGTCGGAAAGGTTCTTTGAAGTGAAATAGTTGGAGGAGCGTGATGGCACACCTAAATGGAAATCAGGGCAGTAAAGGTGGACGATTCAATTTGATAGGATATAATATTGCTTTATGATATAGTCGTAGCGGATTATAGTGCAGCAGAGCCTTGGTAATTGAGAGGATTAAAAAAGTTTTATGGTGCCACAAACATTCTATTACATGTGGCTATTTTATAAAGGTATTTGCACACTGCATATACTACTATATGGGATATGAATCAGAGAGTTCATATTAGTATTACATGGAGTGGCAAATAGTTGTTTTTTGGGGGGCGTGCTGCTGCTTTGTAATTCATTTAGCATGAACCTACACAGGTCTTCTGTTACGTTTGTTTTTTATTTCTGTGGTGTTCTTTTTCCTCTTTGAATAATGATACCAATAATTTTTCCATTGGTACTTGTTCCAGCTTACAGGGGATTTGGACAAGATGGTGGCTCTGCAGAGATTGTTGGAGCCCTATGGCATTTGTGAGGTATGTTTCTAATCCATGGTCTTGATTCCAGCTAAAGTTTTAGAATGCGAATGTGATAGGGCCCATGGCAGTCTTACATGTGTGTTTATGTGAATCGTGTTGGCTCCGTTTATGTGTGCATCAAGTTACATTGTAGACCTATATGATGGGCATCCCAAGTATTTTTTTCCGAAAGTAAATAAAATAATATTTATTATTGCATTTGTACTATTTTTTTTTTTGGGTGGAGACAATCTCTCTTAACACGGAGTGAGACTGCGTAAATCTCACCATCCTCTGGCCTGCAATAGCAGGAGCGTGTGCACTAGGCCGTCTTTTTTGACTCTGTACTTTGTGATGTTTGAGAACATACTTGGGAGAATCCTAGTGATGATGTCTCTTGTCTTTCCCCACCCCGTTTACGTATCTTTGACCCCAAAGTGCATAATTATGTTCTCAAGTGTGGCTTCCTCATTGTAGGTGGCACGAACAGGGCGTGTTGCTTTGGTACGTGAATCAGGGGTTGATTCCAGATACCTTCGGGGATATTCTTATCCGTTGTAGGTTTTGATTTTGTGAAGCTTCAGGCGATAATGGATGCTTTTTGATCTTTTAATGGTTTGCTTGGGCAAATAAGGTTGAAGATAGTATGGAATAATTTTAAGGGTTTTATAAAATGTCCCCTTCAATTTTGGGTCTTGTTTCAATCAACTCCCTATCATTTCAATTTCAACGATTTGCTCCCTTCAACTTTATTTGTGTAAATGTACTGACGGAAGTGACTGAGATGGTAAAATTCCAAAAAGTCCTTAATCATGGTAAATAATTGGCGCCAAAAAAAGTAACCATAGTTGGCTGATTTGCTCAGCTATAAATGGAGTTTAACTCGATGTGGATCCTTCTTGCCCTAATTTCTCATAGAATCTGCATACACTCAACGCCCCTCAGATAAATAGTACAAGAGGCCTCACTTGACCAAAGTATCTGCATGCACCTATTTTCTTGGTGTCGGTTTGTTTGTCCTATGGGTCGTCGGTGGAAATTAGAGACATTTTCAACACGTCATTGGTCCTGATTTATATATAATTGAATCATTCCTGGAATGAGGATGAAATTGGAAATAAATACTACCTTTCAATTAAAAAAAGGGGTAATTGTTTTTTAGCTCCTTGTGGTGTTGGATAGAAGTATCTTACGTATTTGACATTTAAAATTATGCACATTATTTTCTTGTGGCCATGTACCAAATTGAAATAATTGACACCATTAATGGAATAATAAAATTATCATAATACCCAAATTATATTTAACAGATTTATTCTTGACAATATTAGTCAAATAGATGACCAAAAAAGAAAAAAAAATTAGTCAAATAGAC